GAGATGCAATAAGCAAGGGATATGCCACACAGGAAGAGCAATGCATTTAACTGCTGGAAACACATCATGGCAAGGAATTTTCTTTTCACAATAAGCAACTTGTACACACTAAACATATGCACAATACAGAAATATTACAAATGCATATTATACAAAAATTTCATTTTCTATAAAATATTGTTGTCATATACAATATATTGACATCCTTTTACAACTTTAGTTTAAAAGCCTAAAAATTAACAATTGTAAATTTTGGTAAACACAACCTTTTGAATACTTTTTAATGTGGAATAGACACTGGCATCTTATAACTGTCAGAAACAGTACTACCTCGCAAAAACGAAGAATTAAAATTCTAAATTTTTTTTATTCCCTCGAGGAGGTTTCCTTGAAGCTGATAAGGGCTCTGGATCCAAGAAATAAAATTTTTCCTCCTCTTTCTTGAATCAAACCTGATTGCATCCCATTTCCCAGGAGCTGTATGACTCGTACAGGCTTAGCACTCTTAACCCTTTGACTGTTTCAGTCGTATATATACGTCTTATGTGCCACTATTTCAGACGTATTAATATGCGTAAATTCTAGCGGCTTCAAATCAAGCGGGAGAAAGCTGGTAGGCCTACATAAGAGAGTATGGTCTCAGTGTGGGTGTGCACCCTGTGAAAAAAATCTGGGACTCAGTGGTGCATTGTGGGAACTCCATCTTGGTAGTCCATTTTCACCATGCCTCGCGGTAAGAAGTACCTCACTCCTCGGCGTATTGGAGGTCTACTGTTCCCAAGTGATAGTTCTAACAGTGATGGAAGTGCCAGTGAAAGTGAATTTCATGGTTTTGGAGAGGGTGTGACTGAAAGCAGTGCCCAGGATTACGTAATTAGTGATGAAAACCCCGATGACCCACAACCGTCCACCTCTGGTGCTGGCACATCTCATTCACGTTCACCTGTACCAGGACGAAAAAGGAAACTATTTCCCCATTTACAGGACTCAGATCTGAGCAGTGAAAGTGATAATGATAGTGATTTCAAAGTTACTGACAGCAGCTCGAGTAACGACAGTGATGGGGATGTGTAATGTGCATGGGGAAGGTGATGTTGGCGGTGGCATGAGTCATGTGGCACCAGCAGCGGGCCACGCTACTACCGACGCTGCTGACTCTGCACAACTACAACCAGCCTCACCCAACCCCACACTCCCACAAAAACCACAACCACGTTTCAATATCCAGAACCCACCAGCAGACCACATCTGGGATTGGCAGCAAGGTGACGATTTTATTCCCAATCCCCATGACTTTGATGAAACACGAAGTGGAATACGGCCATTGTGTACACTTGGGAACAATGCCACTGAACTAGAATGCTTTCAGTTATTCTTTGATGAACCCCTGATGGACATTATTGTCAGGAAAACCAACACATACTATGAGTACACCATGGCATACACAATTCTTTCACCAAGATCACGGCTACACCAGTGGAAGGACACAACTGTGGCAGAGATGTACCTGTTCTTTGCCACAATAATGCTTATACCACATGTGTATAAGCACACTGTCACCACATAGTGGTCAACAGAATGCCTGATTTCAACCCCAGGTTTTAGTGACATTATAGGAGTAAATCATTTTTTGATACTGTTACGTATGTTACACTTTTCAGACAACAAGGCCTGACAGAACCGACAGGTTATGTAAGATCAGAAATGTGTTTATGTACCTGAAACAAAAGTGTTCCATGTATATTTATCCCTTCAGGAAGCTTGTTATTGACGAGTCTGATTTTATTCAAAGGAAGACTCTCATTTAAGCAGTACATACCAAGCAAGAGGAAATGCTTTGGTATAAAGAAGTTATTTGTACTGTGTGATTGCAAAAGTGGTCTCCTTTTGGATATCATTGTGTACACTGGCAGTAATACGTTGAGAGATACCAGGAAGTTATTGGGTATCTCTAGTGATGTGGTTCAAACACTGATGGAACCATATCTTGGTAAGGGGCATATACAGTGGACCCCCGGTTAACGAACTTTTTTCATTCCAGTAGTATGTTCAGGTGCCAGTACTGACCGAATTTTTTCCCATAAGGAATATTGTGAAGTAGATTAGTCCATTTCAGACCCCCAAACATACACGTATAAACGCACTTACATAAATACACTTACATAATTGGTCGCATTTGGAGGTGTTCGTTAAGCGGGGGTCCACTGTATTATATACTGATCACTTGTAGACAAGCCCAATGCTCAGTGATTTCTTGCAAGTGAACCTGACATACGTGTGTGGTAATCGTAAGCATATGCCAAGGTTCGACGCTGGCACTCGCAGAGGTGAGGTGCAGGCCTTTTCTGCCAACGACATCATGGCATTTCGGTGGCATGACAAACGTGATGTCACATTCTTGACATCAGTTCACCAAAACGAAATGAACATTAAAATGGTATAAAATACCGACAGGTTGTTAGGTAAGACACATATGCAACAGTTAGGTATCTTTATTTCGAAACGTTTCGCCTACACAGTAGGCTTCTTCAGTCGAGTACAGAAAAGTTGATAGAAGCAGAAGAGACTTGAAGACGATGTAATCAGTCCATCACCCTTAAAGTTTTGAGGTGGTCAGTCCCTCAGTCTGGAGAAGAGCATTGTTCCGTAGTCTGAAACAGACTTTCAGACTACGGAACAATGCTCTTCTCCAGACTGAGGGACTGACCACCTCAAAACTTTAAGGGTGATGGACTGATTACATCGTCTTCAAGTCTCTTCTGCTTCTATCAACTTTTCTGTACTCGACTGAAGAAGCCTACTGTGTAGGCAAAACGTTTCAAAATAAAGAAACGAAATGGCACACACACTGGCAGGGATAATAGAGGGCCAATGAACCCATTCTAAAACCTACAGCTGTCATGGACTACAACCTCAATATGTGCTTAGTGGACAAATGTGACATGCAGATTGGGTTTGCTGATTGTGTACGCAAGAGTTATAAGTGGTATATAAAACTTTTTTCCATCATAATATTTTCATGCTAAATGATTATAACATATACAAGTTGAGACCAACAACAAACCAAAATATGGTGAATTTTGTTTATCAGTCATCAGATACATAATCGTCAAGTACCGTCACCTGCAATAGACCAATGCCCACAAAATTACCAACACATGCCATCTCATTTGAGGCCTGGTGATCACTGCCTCCTCCTGCTTTCAAGAAAAGTGATATGTGGACATACCACAAACGCACACAGAGACATGTTTTATTAGGGAAAGTCAAGTACCACTCCATATACCTATGTTTCAGAGTCCACAAGCTGCAGCAGTTTTTTAAAAGGTTTTCAAAGACTGTACAAGTATAAATTATGGAAAAATAGTAATAAACAATCTTTTGTATTTTTGTTTGTGTAAAGTTTTATACACAATTAATGTGATAATGTTTGTTTTTAGTTATTGTGTTTTTAACAATGCACCCTTTCTTTGGTCTCCCCGGCCCATAATTTACTTAGAAAAAAAAAATATTGGAAAAAAACAAAAACCTTCGAATTGGAGAAATAAAAAATATCGGGTGGGCAGCATTTTCCCCCTGTTGCCAACGCCGCTCATTTTCTGCCCAACTTTATATCCGGTAAGACCGGGCAAAAAAATTTTTTAGGCTTAAAACACCCTTAAAACCCCAACATTTTGGCAAGAAATTTTTTTTTTTTTTTTATTTTGCGACATAGACCGAGTTTTAAAAGGGGGTGTGACGTCAGGGTTAAATATAATGTACGTAAAATTTTTTCCTTTTTTGAAAAGTATGGACGCGAACCCCCTTTCAACTTTTTAAAAAAAAAGGAACTGTTAGCATAATGCATTCATTTTTTTAACTTTTTTTATTATTAGAGTTTTTGATTATTAAATAATTTTTTTATAATATGCACGGAAACAAAAGCAAGGAGGTTAAAAAGATGGAATAGGAACAAAAGAATGCCCCCCCCCCCCCTCCCCCCCACCCCAAAGATAGCAATTCTTATACTTACTGCATTTCCCTTTTAACACTTCATTTTTTGAGCAATATTAAATATTGTGGGTTTTTATACAACATGACAAATTCAGTTTTTTTTAACAATTACTTGAAAAAACAGAAATTGAAGTTGGCGATAGGTTTTTCAGTTTTTGCGGGGTTTGAAAACTGCAATAAATAATTGATATTAAAATATTAAAATATTCTAAAAGGTTTTTAGAAAAACTTGGGAATTTTGGTCCTCCAGTAAACAAAAATGCATGCATAATTAGGGGTTTTTTCTTGTAAAAAATAAACATTTAAAAACCTACTATTGAAACTAATGTTTTTGGGGGAAATGAAGTGATCTTTTATAACTGAAAATTTAAAAATTTGCAACAAAAAAAAAGTTTTTACAAAAAAATCCCTTTTGGCTTAAAACGCACCAAATTAAAAAATGAACAAAAAACCAAACAAGCAATGCACGCTATTAGCATTGGAATAAATTTCACATTTTGTCAAGACACCCCCTTTTTAAATTATTTATGAAAGCACGGGTTCAACAAGTTTTTTTAAAAAGTAAGTACAGTTTAAATTTGTATAATTTAATGTAGATTTTATTAACTCCTTTCCCAAAAACTCAGTGGCGTAGAGCCGGGTTTTAAAATAGCCTTTTAAACATTTTTAAATTTAAAAATGGGACAAATTCCCCCCCCCCCCCCCAAACCAAAATTTGCACTTTAAAATTTATAAAATAATCTTTAAACCATTTTGTCCAAAAAGACTGTGGTTTTTAAATTTTTACCTGCCCAAAAAATTTAAGGCAAATGTGTGTCAAACTTGCGACGGGGGTGAGACATACCAAATCCCCCCCTTTCTCGTCAATTATTAATGTACTTTTAAAATGGAACCAAAAAATGCTCAAGCCTGACCAAAAAACTGGGCTTTGGATAAAGCCAAAAAACACCAAATAATTTTTTAAAACGAAGACAGTCACATCAAAGCATTTAAATAGGGTACATGAATTACAATGACTGCTAAAATACTCAAAATTTACTCCTGCTTGGTTATAAACCCAAAGTACAACCCCAGATATCTGTGGCACAGTATTGGCATGGAATGAGTGATTAAATGAATTTTCAGACCCAGATTAACAATACAAAAAGTGTAGATATACAATGGTGGTAGGAATATTTACATGACAAATACAAACCATATATCTAACATTTCTATTTTCACACACTCGATTGGCTTTCTTGACTGATTGAAGGATCTCCTTCGCTAGGAGAGAGCATGGGAATACTTTCTTGAGGCGTGGACGTTGTTGGCGTTTGATCAACTGCTATGGGTGTGGACGAAGAGGGGGAAACAGATTTTGGGTTCATTGGCGTTTCCTCCTCTAGATTCTCATCTTCGTCATTAAAAGAGACAGATTTTGCCAAGTACCATACTACTACATCCACCACAAATGCTAACATCATAACAGCACCTGTCATGCCTGAAAATAAATTATAGTCATACAGTAAATTTTAAGGTTGCCATCAAATGCATTATAGTAGTCTGAAAACATCTTCCCCAAAAAGTAAAGATAAATTCTTAATGAGTCACAATAGCTTTAGCAATTCACAACTAACCTTCAATTTGGTGAGGAAGTATTAGACTATGTTTTGGTCCATCCTCAAAGTGGAGAGTGAAAAAGGCAAGAAAACTAGCAACAAGCCAGGACCGTGCTGTATGACCCTGGTATGTTAACTAATTAGTTTGTCATAATAAACAGGTCAGGAAACACCTGTCCCTCTCTTACTTTTCCTGCCACCCTTTCTCCATTTAAACCTCCTACTATGCGAGTTTTATACCCCAATTTTGGACACAAAATAAAACATGCCAAAACTGGAAACATACATTTTTAGGATAAGCCATTTTTTCTTTTGTCCCCAATGCAGCATTGTCAGAAATTTGGCACCAAAATTAAAAAAACAGGTATCAACAATTATCCATCAATACTCTGTAGTATTTAATAATGATGTTCTTCAATAATCCCAAGTTTTCTGAACACCTACCCCCCACCCTTCTGTCTACTCTCCTCTTTAACCCTTTCAGGTCCGTCCCGTAGATCTACGGTTTTTTCGGTGAGTGTCCAAACCGTAGATCTATGCCAAAATTCTAACGGCGTCAAATTTAGCGTGAAAGCGCTCATAGACCTACATGTGAGAGAATGGGCCCTGCGCCGTGGGTGTGCGCCATAAACAAAAAATCTAGGCGCCTCATAGCATTGTGGGAACGCCGGCTCAGTCACCCTGTTCCCATGCCTCGTCGCAAGTCAACTCCACCCCCTCCCCGGAAAATTGGGACTCTCCTCTTCCTGTCTGATAGTTCTGAAAACTGATGGAAGTGCAAATGAAAGATGAATTCTACGGCTTTGATAAGTTAGTGACCGAAATAATGACCAGGATATCGATAATAGGGGCAGAAAACCCCGACGATCCTCGACCTTCTACCTCTGGTGTGGGCACTCGTGACTCACGGTCGGGTGTTCCTAAACGTAAGACAGACCCTGAGCTGCTTGGGGATTTTCACAGACCCTGAGCTGCTTGGGGATTAGCGTGGACGGTTACAAAGCATGGCTTGCTTCTACAGTGTTTAAAAGCTGAGGTTGGAGAGTTGAAGGAGGAGGTCCCTTTCTTCTCCAGGAGGAGATTAGGAGGCTGAAGGCCACCTCAATGGGCCTGGGAGAGAGTGTGAGGTGGTTGGAGATGTGGGGAATGAGGCTTCTAGCAGTGAGGTGCAGTTTGTCTCTCACTGTGAGGAGGCTGTAGGTGGGGGGTAGCAACGGCTACCACAGTGAGGTGAAGGCCACACCCCGCTACAAGTGGCGAGTTGTTTTACAGTAATGGGGGGCGCATCAGAGTAAGGAAAGTTAAGAGTGCAGATCTGAAGGTAGGAAATCGCTTCTCTGTTCTCCCAGGATGAATGTACTTCAGTGGCCAGTGAAGGTAAGGGTACTACTGCCCCTGCTAATGAAGGTAAGCGCATTCCTTGTGGTTGGTGACTCTCAGTAAGATATGTTGATCGTGCTTTTTGTAATAGGAATAAGAAGATGAGAGATAGAAGGTGCTTCCCTGGAGCGGTGTTTGGGACATTGTCAACAGACTGGATAATATCATGTCAGGTAATGGGAACAAGCCCATTATCTGTCTCATGCTGGTGGAAATGATATTGGGAAGGGTAGGAGAGAAGAGCTGCTAGATAAGTACAGGTCAGCTATAGATTTCATTAAGTCTAAGGGAGGGATCCCAATCATATGTAGCATCTTGCCTAGAAGGGGAGTAGGAAATGAATGGTTGTCTAGGGCAATTGGTGTAAATTGCTGGCTAGACAGATACTGCAAGGAACTTGCAATCCCATTCATTGACAACTGGAACAACTTTTATGGCAAACATGATATGTATGCAAGGGATGGGGTTCATCTCTCTGGGGCAGGGGGGGTAGCACTTGCAGACTCGATTGAGAAGGCCATTGGTGAAATGCCTATGATTTTAAACTGATGGAAGATAGAGGTATGGGTGTGTGTGGGAAACAAGCAGGTTGCAACACTAGGGTTGTAAACAGTAAATGTATAAAAGGCATTCAGCATGAAGTTATAAATAAAGACAATAGAACAGGTCAGCAAACAAAGGGGACAGCAGAGGGCAGCAAGGAGTAGCTCCCTTAAGGTTTACTATACTAATAGCAGGAGTGTTAGAAATAAGATAGATGAGCTAAGATTAATTGCAAGTGCAGGAAACATAGATATTATTGCTATAACAGAGACCTGGCTCAATCTGAAAGATAGAGAGATGCCCTCTGAATGTCACATACAAGGCTATAAATTATTCCACACTGACAGGGGCAACAGGAAAGGTGGTGGAGTAGCGATGTATGTCAGAGACAATTTAAATTGTTGTGTTAGACAAGATATTAAATTAGAAGCGTCAGCCACTGAATTGTTTGGTTACAGCTTCTCGAGGGCCGAGAAAAACTAATTTTTGGGTGTGATTTACAGGGCCCCAAATCTTGATAGGGAGTGCAGTAAACTTCTATGGGACGAAATTCGTAAGGCATCTACATACGAAAATGTTGTGCTAATGGGAGATTTCAACTATAGACAGATTGACTGGAGCAATTTGACAGGAAATTTAGAGTCAGGTGACTTTCTTGATACGATCCAGGATTGTTTTTTAAAACAGTTTGTGACAGAAGCCAACAGGGGAAAATAACCTCCTTGACTTGGTTCTTGCCAGTAGGGAAACACTAATTAATAATCTTGAGGTTAATGATGAGCTTGGGAGAGTGATCACAAATCACTCAGTTTTAACATAGAGCTGGAATTCCCCTAATAATGGCAATCAAGTCCTCCGTCCCTGACTTTCGCTTGGCTGATTTCATAGGACTGAAAAATTACTTAGGTGGGCTGAACTGGAATGACCTGACTAGGGGTCAGGTAGGTGGTGATGGTTGCCGATATGATGCTTCCAGGGCATAGTTCTAGCTGCTCAGTCAAATTATGTTCCAAATAGGGAAATCAGATCAAACAAAAATGATCCTAAATGGATGAACAATAGATTAAAATATCTGATTGGTCAAAAGAGAGGCATATATAGGCAAATCAAAAGAGGAGAGGGGCAATTAAGAAAATCGATATATTCAGTTAAAGAGAGAAATAAAAAAGGAATTAGAAAAGCAAATAGAGATTATGAGGTTAAAGTTGCAAGAGAATCGAAGACTAACCCAAAAGGATTCTTTCAGGTATACAGAAGTAAGATCAGGACAAGATAGGCCCACTCAAAAGTTCCTCGGGTCAGCTCACTGACAGTGATAAGGAAATGTGTAGAATTTTATAACACATACTTCCTCTCAGTTTTTACACAGGAGGATACCAGCGATATTCCAGTAATGATAAATTATGTAGAACAGGACGATAATAAACTGTGCACTATTAGGGTCACAAGTGACATGGTCCTTAGGCAAATAGATAAATTAAAACCTAACAAATCCCCAGGCCCTGATGAACTGTATGCAAGGGTTCTAAAGGAATGTAAAGAGGAGCTTAGCACACCCCTTTTGGGTAATCTTTTCAACATTCACTACAAACTGGCATGGTGCCAGATAAGTGGAAAATGGCAAATGTGATACCTATTTCAAAACAGGTTTACAGGTCCTTAGCTTCGAACTATAGACCAATAAGCCTAACCTCCATAGTGGGAAAATTTATGGAATAAATAATTGCCGAGGCAGTTCGTAGCCACCTTGAAAAGCATAAATTAATCAACGAATCTCAGCATGGTTTAAAAAGGGGGCGTTCCTGCCTTACGAATTTATTAACTTTTTTCACTAAGGTATTTGAGGGGTAGATCATGGTAATGAAAAAGATATTGTGTATATGGACTTCAGTAAGGCTTTTGACAGGGTCCCACATCAGAGACTATTGAGGAAAATTAAAGCACAGGAATAGGAGGAGAAATTTTTTCCTGGATAGAGGCATGGTTGACAAATAGGCACAGAGAGTTTGCATAAATGGGAGAAATCAGAGTGGGGAAGCGTCACGAGCGGTGTTCCACAGGGGTCAGTGTTGGGCCCCCTGCTGTTCACAATCTACATAAACGACATAGATGAGGGCATAAAGAGCGACATCGGCAAGTTTGCCGATGACACCAAAATAGGCCGTCGAATTCATTCTGACGAGGACATTCGAGCACTCCAGGAGGATTTGAATAGACTGATGCAGTGTCGGAGAAGTGGCAGATGCAGTTTAATATAGACAAATGCAAAGTTCCTAAATGTTGGACAGGACAATAACCATGCCACATAAAACTAAATAATGAGATCTTAATATTACGGATTGCGAAAAAGATTTAGGAGTTCTGGTTAGCAGTAATCTGAAACCAAGACAACAGTGCATAAGTGTTCGCAATAAAGCTAATAGAACCCTTGGCTTCATATCAAGAAGCATAAATAATAGGAGTCCTCAGGTTGTTCTTCAACTCTATACATCCTTGGTTAGGCCTCATTTAGATTATGCTGCACAGTTTTGGGTCACCGTATTACAGAATGGATATAAATTCTCTGGAAAATGTACAAAGGAGGATGACAAAGATGATCCCATGTATCAGAAAACCTTCCCTATGAGGATAGACTAAGGGCCCTGAAAACTGCACTCTCTAGAAAGACGTAGAATGAGGGGGATATGATTGGGGTTTTTATAAGTGGAAGACAGGAATAAATAAAGGGATGTAAATAGTGTGCTGAAAATATCTAGCCTAGACAGGACTCGCAGCAATGGTTTTAAGTTGGAAAAATTCAGATTCAGGAGGGATATAGGAAAGTACTGGTTTGGTAATAGAGTTGTGGATGAGTGGAACAAACTCCCAAGTACCGTTATAGAGGCCAGAACGTTGTGTAGCTTTAAAAATAGGTTGGATAAATACATAGTAGATGTGGGTGGGTGTGAGTTGGACCTGA